AATTTGAAAATTTCACTATCCTTCCAGTATAAAATTTTTACTATCAGAGTTATCTTCCCTTAAAATTGACTTTAAAAACACAAATATTTGGTTTTTGTTTAAACATTTTTAATTATGAAATAATGTTTTTTTTTATTTTTAAAAATTAACATTCTTACACATTAAATGCAAATCTGTCTCAAAATTTGCAGATTTAGGCAAAGAACTAGACCAATTGTGTACTGCTATTGTACAATCCAAGATGGCGGTATACAATGAATCTACCTTAACTCATTAGATCGGGACAAATCACAAACGCAAGAAACAAAAACATAGCATTGAAAAAGTTCCCCTTGTAAAACTGAATTGTTTACATTTTCCTCGTAGAATACACTTGGTAACTCAGTGATGTATCACTTAATTATTGGACTATTCTAGAGCGATAGAATATTAACTTGCACTGCACAATTCACAATACACGTATACACCACATATAAGTCGAAAAACTGGGTGCCAGCAGGTCACGTAGAAAAAATTACCTCATGCTAAACTGATCTGAACATTTATTAAGGTCAAAGGTCAGACGTAGATCCAGTCTTATTTTGACGTTAAATTGGCTGTCAGTTTTTATTCTTTTTTTTATTAATTAAGGGTTGGTGCAAGGTTAATCCCTGCTTGAATTCACACCTGTTGATAAATAATTTTTTAACGGGACTTAATTTTTTTTTAAAACAGAATCATTTCAGATATTATGAAGCTTAAACCTGGTATCTTTTACAAATCCATGTATTTAAATTGTTTGCATTGGTATAGGTTGCAGGTGAACATTTTTTTACGGCAAATTGTGCACCAGTTGTAAAATAAGAGAATAGGCAGGCGACGAATGGAGACCGTAGCGATTTTTTTTTTTATTCACACAGGGAACAAATTGAGAATGCGATGCTGTAAGAAAATTAAGCATTTCGCATTGTGTCCGAAAAGAAAAATTTTCTTACATTGTAGAAGATGCTTACATAGTTTTGACATACTATATTTGATTGAATCATATAATTTCAACTTTTTTAATGATTATTTATCAATTTAATTGTGTTGTATATCTTAACCGAAATCGCCATTGTAAATTCGAAAATGTTTTGCGATATTCCTTGATATCAATTTTACCCAGGGCTTCCGGATATTTTCATTGCATCTTAATATTGTCAGTGGGAAATCTAGTGTCAATACTTTACCTCACCTGCAAACGCTGAAAACTTGATCTTTCAATGTTGGTTCTGTTGGAGCAAGGATGCTATTAGTTATCAATTCAACAGAAAATATTTGAAAGAAAAACAAAATTTCCAAATAATTTATCATTTCCCTCCTTAAAAATCAAACGACGAGTACAACAGGCTTAAGATTAAAAAAGAAGCTTTGCGTAAGCTTAGGTTAAAATACTCCTATGCGAATAAATTCCTGGAGTACCAGCTTCAATTTATGTTTCTACTGGCTGTAAGTTCCTTGGAACATGTCAATTATCCGCATATATATCATATATACATTTGGTACTGATGGCATTTGAAGCAGCTCTCTTTTCATATATTGACATCCGGGCTATTTATGCCTTGCTATGTATAAAGAGTCTACAAGTTAGTTATTGTTCTCTTTCATTTACAGTTTTTGTTTCAATTATAATAGCTTAAAATGGGAGGGGGCGTATTTTTGACCCCCCTTTTGCCCCTGGCTCCTACGTACAAGCTAGTAGAAAAACATTACATAGAAAATAGGGTACAAAGAATATTATTGACCAAGTCTATCATATTGGAGTCACATTCGCTTGGGGAATGCTCCCTGTTTTTTTTATTTAATTTAAGTAAAATTCTTAATTTCTTTAGTTACTTTATTTATTTCCTCTTTTTTACGTATTCTTGCTAGCATCGTTTGATTTAACAATAAGAGTATTGTATGACCAATGCCGCTGTATTCCAATTTAAAAAAATTCCAAAATTGAAATTAAAACAAAGAGTACTAACCTCTAAGCGCCTGTGATTTGAAATCTTGTAGAATTCGGAAATTATGAGAAAGCAACTCAAAGAAGAGAACTTAATTGTCTCAAAATGTATTCATTTTTACAATTTCAAAACATTATTTTTCATGAATAATTCTCTAATGTTTTTGTCTTACTAATATATCAGAAGCTGTTCTGATAATTTTAAACATTTGACATAACTTTCATTTTATCAGCTTTACATGCTTTATGCGTGAAACAGATAATAACGAAATTCACCTTTAACATGTTAACGATAAGATTTGCCTCATCAGTAATGATTGCAGTAATCTGCGTGACTATTGAAAAAACAGGAGAACGATTTTCAACTTTCGTATGTTCAACATTACCTTTATATCTTATATAGGTAAACTTTTGTTTATAAAATACATATCAAGTATTTTGAAATGCACTTGGTTATTCTAATATAGGTGTGTTCATGTTTATTTGAAATGTAATTGTGTGTTAGGCCTTTTTTTCGCCCCATAGGTGTTTGTTGATGCGACCGTCCAGAAAAGGGAGAAAAACAAACTTTACAACAATATATTATCATATTGCTGCTTTTTGTGCAAGTTTTCTTATATATCATATATCTAGGATAACAATTATAGTATAGCATATCGATGCACCTCACTTGCCATTTTATTGGCGACTAATTAATTTATAGCTACTGATCTGCATTCTCAAATAAATTTAGGTCAATAACCGAATGTCTTGGCTTGTCGAGTTCAACTGTAGAACGTGTATATTTACAGTGTTTAATGTTTGCATCTATTTTTAGAAAAGTGTGTACTTGTTACAGTTTTATGAAACTATTATAAATGAATTTTGTGCTTTGTTTGGACTTTTCTATATTATTCATCGTTTCTGGGTGATTCCAAGACTTTAATCGATTTTGTATAATTATATATTTATATTCAATTACAAATATTTTATTGAACAAAGCACATATGATATATATGACATTGCGTAATCCAAGTATAAAACATACATTACATATACAACATGACAAATGATGTATATATATACCTTTTCTGAATGTATAAATTGAATTGCATACATTAATGCCAAAAGTATTATGTTCGTGCAATCATAGGCCGTGACTCCTAAACAACAAATATAAAAATTGTCAAAAACTTGACTCGAATTTTGTTAATATAACATCATAAAGTTATCAAAATTTGATAATGGATACACAAAATCGGTCTGTTGTATATACATACCTATTTTGTCCAGATTCTTCCTTTGGAAAACGGTTTTTATAAGAGATTGATTGATATTTGCTTAATCTCCAGTGGCAAATATTTCATGCATAGTTATGACTAGAGAAAAATAATTTATAGAAAAGGTAGGTCCTGTGATAGGCGGTCGACCGGGACGAAGGGCGAGAAATTTCGAATGCCACTGGAAATAAGGATATATTGATTGGACAGAAAAATGGCCTTGCAAAAAGACCTCTTAAAAGTTCGTCGATTTATGTTATTTTAATCTATATCAATGAATCTAAAATAACGATACCATAAGTAGAGTAAAGTCAGAACATTCAGTAATTAACAACGAGGGTCGGCTGACAACTAAAACTTTACGAAAAAGTGTTCCATTGCAGTGAAGCAACATTTCAGCTGTGCCTACACATATAATATATATATACGATACGATACGATAGCATAGGGCTTTGGTTTCAATTTTCTATTTTCTTGATAGAGGGTATTACATGCAAAGACGCTGTGTTAACAAGAGTTTCAAAAGGTAAAGTTGGATGCATCACTATAAATGTTTTAAGGACCCTTTGCATTGTTTCAATGGGTTCGTGCTCTTTACAAACTTTATAACATAGCTTTCAGCATAGTATATTCAAGTGCGATCTTGTTGGCATTCGTAAGCGCGAGGAAACATGATAGATTAATGTAGGATTTTTTAGTTTTGAATTTTGAATTTTTAATTTTGAATTTGGAATGATCCTTCTCGGCTTTCGTACAAATGCATTACGACATCAGCATGATCAGCATTAAATCAATTCATCATGCAAAACTATATAAAATGTTTATGTATGTGTTACCGTTATTCACGACTACACAAAACGTGCTTTAACATGAATGCAGTGTTTCTGTTTTGAAAACGATTTTCTAATCATTCCATAGTGTATGCAATATTTATTGGTTACTATGTAATAATTTACAACGTACTTTTAGTTTTCAAACTGACAGTCTTTCCTTAGTTTGTCATTATTCAGAGGGACTCCATTAATTGGAGTATGCCTTCACGTTAGGAACTTTATATTCTGTTGAACACTAAATTTTAATTGTTTCATATTTATTGGCTGTTTTGTTAGTGTTTTTCAATTTTTTCTGTCCCTTCTGTTATTTACTTTGCAATGTTTATGACAACCGGCAGTTGGTCATAGTCAGATAATTAAGTTGACAAAATTAATGACTGTGGACAAACTTATATTTTGCATTTGATTAGCAACATGCACTATCCATATAATAGAACCCATTCAAACATTCAATATAAACGCAATTGGTCAACTGTTTTATCCTTGGGTTTAGCTTCAAATAGTTGTATATGGTATAAATGAAATAACTATTTAATTTTTTACAGTTTAGTTCGACGTACAAATTCATTAGAAAAAAATCACCATTCAGTTTAACAACAGTTCATAACACTATTTTGAACTAAATCTATTTCGACAGCAAAAAGATGCAAAAGATATCCAAGGGACGTTCAAACTCATAAGTAGAAAATAAACTGACAATTTCATGGCAAAAATAAAAAAAAAACAAAAGACAAATAACAGGATACAAAAAGAAATGACGAAAAGCTAATTTAAAATTGAAATATTGCACTTATGCTTGGTACGCAAGAAGAATTGATATCATGATTAATTTCAGAAGTTTTTTTTTCCTTGAATTGGCATTTAATTGACTTATCTTGTTTTTCTCGCATTTGAGGCTAACAATTGGTTTGAAATACATTTTTGTCGTCATTTTAATTGTAGTGCCACCACGAATACTGCTACAAGAAATGATTAAAAGTGACGGGAGAAATATTGGACTGAAATGTTATGTTAATTCACATTTACCACTAACGTCTGTGAGATGGTGTAGAGAACCTGGAGGCAGTATTTTTACGGATATAAAGTCTTACAACGGATTTAGCCGTAACGGACTTAGAATATTGACCCATGAAACTCGCGAGAAAGACGACTTTGCAACATACAAATGCATAGCTAGTAACAAAATTGGCACCGTGGAAAGCGACCCAGTACAACTTAACGGTAAAGGAACATTTTATAGCGATACAATTGCTAATTTAGCAGATTATACTAAAGTTTAAGATAAAAATCTATTTATTGACTAGACTAAACAGAGAAGCAATACGAAATAATAAAAATAATGATTACAATTAAATATCTGGCATACAAATTAGTTGCATTGATTCCAATAAAGTTTGTATGATCCGTATCTGTTGAAAGGCAGTTAAAACGATCTTTGTTAATATTACTTTAAGTTTTGAAATAGTCTATCTTCTAGAACAAACTCATCTGTTAGACAAATTATGATTTGAGACATCGAACCAATCATATCATAACTGACCAGATATCTCTATATAAAGTTGCAAATGACATATCCCTACAAAAAGATGGAAATGAAACGCCAGGTAAGTAAAAGTTCTCTGAGTCTTCATTGTTTAAACTATAAGATGACGTTCATAAATATTATTAGTCTAATAAGTCTATGAAATTCGTTTTCCATGAATTTCAAAAAAATATTAAGTGCCATTGACAATGTTATTACCAATATTTATAACAGAATTTGAAAACAACGTAAAGGACATTAACAGAGCAGCAATACTAAATAGATAGCAAAAGAGACGTTAAATTTAAGATTTTGGGCATACGAATATGAATAACAGTATTTGAAAACAATTTGCATGAACGTTTTTGGATTAATAGAAAACGTTTTTTTTTTCTTTTTCTTATTCACATTAGATGAAGAAAGACAGAAGTTTATACAAGAACTATTTCTAAAAGGGGAATGTGGAAAACTTCATTTTGCAAGACTTGTTTTTGTTGGAAAAAACGGAGTAGGAAAAACCAGTTTAATGCGAAGATTACTTTGGAAGGAGAAGGAAGATGTTACTTTAACACAAAGTACAGACGGAATAGAAGTTGAGAAATGCAATATAAATATTGCTAATGGGAAATGGAGCCCATGTAATAGTAAGACGCTATTCGTTTATTCAGTTTAATGTTTTATTTTTTTGTCGATTCAAAGTATTGAAAGAATTTTTAAATGGTTACTGTTTACTTAGTATTACAACATTGCGTTACATTTTCGAATCACTATCAATAATAAAGAAGTCTTGTTAGTCTCTTGATATTTACTTATTAAGCCGCTTGCATTACAGCAGATCAACTGTGAACACCTTTTGAAAAAGGTAGAAATTAATTGCAGGGAACCAATCACGTCAGCATTAGAAGAATTCAAGGGAATTAATTTATTTATTTTTAATGCAAACAAAAATATATTATAACAATTATAATTATATTCAACATTATTACTATCTTCACTGTACTTTTCACAAGTCTAGGTACACGCTTAATTAATTACCTTGTTTCAAGGTGCTCCGTTTAATTATTAATTTAACACAAGTATATCTAACACACGGAAATGATTTTTTTTTTCATATTAAAATATTTTTCTGATCATTTGTCCTAACATTTAAATGTTAAATAAGGTTACGAGTTTCTTTCCAAAATTATCTTTGACATTAGTTGTATACTGTTCATTCACGTCGCCTCCATCTCATCACTTGGTATAAACAAGGAGAGGTGGTATAGTTGTCATATAGACAACTATCCAACAAAGTTCAAATGAAGCAAATTTAAGCTGCTATAGGTCACCGTACAGTTTTCAACGATAAGTAAAACACATACCGTAAAGTCAGCTATTAAAATCCCCGACATGACAAAATGTGCTTCAACTCAAACCAAAACATTAAGGGTTTGCTTTATGGCAAAACAATAAAAAAAAGAAAAAAAAAGACAGAAACCTACAACAAAAACTGGAATATAGGCTTCTGACTTGGAAGAGGCAGGTATAGAATGAATGTGAACCCTTTACCTCATATGACGTCACAATTCTCTTATGAAAGACAAATTTCAATGTCAGTATTAACTTTATAAGTAATCATTATGCCAGTTATTTGTCCTGAAGTCGTTAAACAAATTCGTGATATGTTATACTTTTAAATTAAGCCATGGTTAAGTTTTCAAAAATGTCGTGTACCATTGTTTTATGAATGTTGAAATGATCAAATGAATAAGGGTATGAGAAGAACGTCCGATATGGTATACAGATATATTCCTGTAGATTACTTATCGGATTTTAACATTAGTAGTGCTACGGATACCACTATTTGAACAGTAACATTTGGCTCTTTTTCCGGACTTAAAATTATGGTTTTATATGTTTGTATCAAGAGTTACTGTGGGCAATAAATGTACGTATGACAATTTTACAAAACAGTGCTGTCTAATGTATATTTGGAAGTTTCTCATTGAAGAAACAGGCTAGACTATACACTTAAAATTGGCATCTAAGTTCCTGGTTATATCCAACAATAGGACTAATAACAAAATAAGCTCGTAACGTATATTATTCATATAACATATTCTACCAAGAAATTTCCCTAAGGTTAATCAACATTTTGTCAGCAGTAAAATAGGGATTCCAGAAAAACTGTGATACTATTAACTCAGATAATGACATTAACTATATCTGGATTTTTTAGAACGCAAAGGAAATTCTGGAAAATTTTTAATCTGTGTCATTCTCTGAAAAAATCTACGGTTACCATTTACGTGTACACCTTTAACACAACAATGAAAAAATTGAAAAACCTGTCTAAAATAAATAATTAACAAAACTTGTCTCCACCCAAAAAGTACCAATGTCTACACATTTATTGTTTTGGGAAAAAACTTTGCTATATTTTACATGTTTTATTTAAAATGAACCCGAGGATAAAACATGCTACACTGAAAAAACAAGTGATCAATATGCTATAGTTTCTCGTAGACAAAATATTCGTTTAATTTGACGGTAGAATTTTCCAGCAGGTTGTCGACATTTCCATGCAAACCATTTTCGTATTTTCTATATAAATATCGTAGAATATAACCAAAAGTTACAGCGACATTGTTCCAATGATAGTTTTGATAAGATACTGTAGCACAATACTTACGAAAACTGTAACACAATATTGTTGCTTTCAAATATTAAATATTAACAAAACAGCAAAATAATGCCTTGCACATATATCGTGCATATCTTCTTCGTGTTACATAGAAACAAAAAAGAAAACATTAAACTCTTGGTTCAAATGTTTACTTATCTTAATTTTTTTTTTCATGATAACAGAGATAGACGATGATCTAACCAGATTGATTCATCAAGTGTATAAAGATAAGATTCTTAACGTAGAACGCGCCACTGCAGAAACCGTTATTGATCAGGAACCTTTTAGTTCAGACACAGATGAATCAAAAAGTGTATCAGACAAAGAACTTTCTAAAAGTTCCGATGATAGTGATTACATAGATGACTTAAACGACGATACTGACAGCGATAGTACTGAAAGTGATGACACCGCACGGAAAGGTATCATAAGACCAGACATTCATTCAGTTATCTCCGACAATAAAGACAATTATGTAACAGTTGAGGTTGATTTAAAATTGGAAAATGTGAATGACAGAAAAATTAACAGCTACCCAAGTGGAAATCTGTCTGACCCTGTCAACGATGAAAATATAAACGAAATGACCTCTACAATTATGAAATCATACCTTGAATCTACGAAAGAGGAACAGGATGATATGTTAGCGTTTTGCTGGTTGTGGGATTTTGCTGGCCAGAAGGATTTTTATGCCACACACCAAGTCTTTTTGTCGAAATGTGCAGTGTATTTGCTTGTTACAGATAGTTTAGAATTCAGCACTGTTGAGAACCAAGGGCTAGATTTTGAAGGCTCGGCACGTAAGTTCTTGAATTGCAAAACTGACACAAAAAAAAAATACCTTCGTCATGTTGTTATGCTTCTAAAGTCTTTATAGGTTTCCATGATGACTTGACAGAAAGTAATCTACACCTACAAATTATTCTGATAGTATAAGGATGTATAGTGTTAAAACCTTATAGCAAAACCTAAATCATATATGAAATATTTAATGCTACCACCGCTACCGTGATAAATTTTACAAACATGAGTTTTGAACCATGTGTTTATAAAAATTTCCTTCTGAAAAAATAACACATCTATGCAACAGTCAGGTAAACAACATAATTCTTGAAACCTCACGTTATGTTATATTGTAAATTATCAAAAATGGCTGAAGTTAAATGTTTGGCACGAAGAAAGATAGCATTGAATTTGTTTGGATATCATATATATATATAGAAAAAGAGAGTATATATTTTTCAGGTAGTTTATTGGGTCACTTGAGTTTTTGATGAACATATAAACCAAATTTTTACACAAAGTACTGTATGGAATAATCCAGTTTTATGTTGTTCGTGTTGTATATGCCTTGCGAAGTATGTGTATTTTGAATATGTTGAACACAAATTGTAATTGGTTCCTAAAGTCAATTTATTGTTTTATTGATATTTACTGTTTTATATTTTTGAAATTATATATATATATATATATATATATACCTTGATAGAGTATGTCAGTTTCTGGTTTGACGCCATTCATTGCTACTGGTCGACTACAGAGAAAGGCAGACTGGACCCTCCAATCATTGTTGTATGTACAAACGAAGATCAAATTAAGGTACCCATGTTTATTCCTGTAAATTATCATTATTATATTTGATTTCATTATTTGTTTTAACATTAATATTAAAACACTACCTGGATGAATAAGAGTCTATAACTTGAAATAAGACAGACAATTATATAAACAACATAAAAAGATGACAAAAAGAAGTATAAGAAACACTACACAGAGCATTGCAAAGAAATCATCAGATCACGGGGGCATTTACTCTTGCTCTTTTGTTGCTAAAAGTAGAGTAGATGGCACCAGTAGTGAACTTGCTGTATTTCACGGGATGACATGTGAGAATTAATTATATTACTTTAAGAAACATGTTCATTTTAGTAATGTACAAAATTCAGTATATGTGATAGTATAGTCGTCCATAGGAACAATACATCACTAAATGTTTATTCTTTAACTTCAAGATGGCGAACTATAAGAGAAGGATTCTTTTAAACATCTGTTCATTAAGTAAAATACGTATTTATTTTATAAGAGAGACTCTGTCCAAATTCCAAGTAGATTGCATTAAACCTGTTTTTTGTTTGTAATTCAACAATATGTCTGGCGTCTTTTGACAGTTCAATTATTTATAATTTACATGTTCTGTCCTATCCAATATTTAAAAACGATATTTTTGTTACTACACATAATGCTGTTTTATTCATATTGTCTTATGAGTTCAAAGATAATGTTCCTCCTTTTGGTTAGAATTTTGTGACGTGGATCGGTACTTATACATCCCGCTATTGTGTTAATGTGCTATGGTCAATTTTGTGTTCTTGTCTTTCATGTTTGCTTATGTACTTTGTCTATATGACATTTTGTACCTTTTTGTTGAATCAGTCATATGTTTTATAGTGATTAAGATATTATTACAATGTTTACTGCTGTACCCCATTTTTTGCCGTTTTTACATATTATGTCTGTTTGCTTTGCTCACAGATTGTTGTAAATATAATGGAATTTTATGCGACTGTCACACAAGTGAGAGTTTTAGCTAGCTATAAAACCAGGTTCAATCCACCATTTTCTAAATAAGGAAATGCCTACACCAAGTCAGGGATATTTTGTTTTCCATTCGTAAGATGTGTTTGACCTTTTGATTTTGCCATTTAATAAAGGACTTCCCATTTTGAATTTCTCTTGTAGTTCACTATTTTTTGTTATTGCACTTTTTATGTAATGATTATTTAACGAAAATTTTGAATAATACTCAGTGATTAAAAAAACAATGAAATATAACGCCACATGAATGACTGAGGTTAAAAAAAACAACAGTAGTATACCGCTGTTAAAAAGTCATAAATCAATTTAGAGAAAACAAATCCAGGTAACAAACTAAAACCGAGGAAAACACATCAACTATAAGAGGAAAACAACGAAAGAAGAGAAGCACTGAAGTGCAACAAAAACAAACGCCAATGCAACGTACATAGAAACGAACTATTTGATAACAACTGCCATATTCCTGACTTGGTACAGGACATTTTAAAAAAAAAATTGTGGGTTGAACCTGGTTTTATGGCTAGCCAAACCTCCCGCTTATTTGACAATGTTAAAAATACCGTTAAAATGACAACACTACGTGACAGGAATACAGTACAAATAAATGCAAGAACACTCAGGACAGAGAAATACATAAATAAATAATATAATAGTACATTTCGACATGTAAATCAAAGAATAACAACGAACACCTAAAATTAATCTACGACTGTACACAGAAACAACAAAATAGAATTATGAACTGTGCGTCACACGAATGTATCAACGCCACAAAAAGTGACGTCACAGGTGTATTTCTAAAAATTGAATATATAATCGGGATTAATTATTTAATTGGATGTTATTTGATGTACTTTCTAACAAAGTCTGTTTTTCGTCTAAATCAAACTGTGTAAAAAAATTAAAGCCTGTGCATATAGTTGCTTTAAGCCAAAGATCATACAAATGAACTAGGTAAATAATTATCTTTACTTTTACATACATATAGAAAATAAAAATAGAACTAAAACCACAAACGATAAGACATAAATCAATATCCAATCAGAATTACAAATAAAACACCATAACTAAATACATGAATTTGGATGTACAAATACCCAGACACGTCTAATAGCAATGCGAATTCACACTCAGCTAAACAGTCATATTCGGGAATAAGTCACGTTCGGTACTTAAAAGACCAGACAACGTAGGTGGTAAACCACAATCTAAGACGCGGTAAAAATGTCGTTAGTTAGTTTAGACACAGACACATCGTATAGATCAACAAATTCGTGATGGTGTCCATAAAATTTACGGAGTGTAATTTTTAATCAAATGACAGTTGTTTTAATTCGTTTATTGACATAGTTGAACGTTTGATTGTGACAGATTTATGGATTTGCCTCTTGATGAATTTACCTTTGAGTTCAGTATTTTTCGTCACAGTTATTGTTTTATAAATGAACTGTTAAAACAAATCTTTGATTTGTTCGAAATACTAAAGATTGTTTATCCAAGAAATATATTACCATAGCTGTGTTTGGTAAATCGTTTGGAATGTTTTTGCCCCCATTGTTTTAATTTTGCATTTCATTTGGATTATATTTTTTTTATTTGTGCGTCACTAATATTTCTTTTGTAAACGAAACGCGCACATAATTATTTGTCAAATACCCCTAAACAGAGATTTCCGTATTATTTTTGATTACCTCTATTGATGTGTAAACACCAACATATTACGCAACTTTACGAATGCAGTTTTTCTAAATTGAATGACAGTTACAATGTCTCAATATCCAACGAAAAAAAATAATTCTGAAAAGTGTATGATTCAATTAAGGATAGACACCCAGCATTGAATGAAAATGGCAATTTGGCACCAAGCACAAAAAGTAAATTCACTGTTAATATATGTTTGATCACAGCATGATTATCAACCCATCAAAATGGGTCATTTAAGCCAGGAGAGATTTGATACGGACTACATACTCAGCTTGAAATTATAAAGAATAACAGCAGCAAAGAAAATTATTGTTTTGGGGTTGGGTATGGTGGGTGTTTTTCCATTTCAAGACAAATCATTGCATTAAATTATACCAAAATATTGTCTTTAAATCTAAACGAAATTACAATTCAAATATTTCACATAAAATAAAATAACAGGTTATGAGTTCTCCTTCTTGACGTTTGCAAAATAAATCAAAGCTGTTTAACTTATAACACAAACTGTTCGAAATTACTGGTTTTATTATGTTCAAAATCCCGCCTTTAAATGCACAAGCTGATGTACAGAAAACGATGTAATATACCACCGGTAACATTAGTCGCTTACAAAAATCAAAATACATAACATGAGATGAACAAAATCTTCTAAATCGTTTTAAATAAGAGAAGAAAGTTTCTGAGGACACAAATGCTCCCGCTGAAGCTTTGCAATTTTCCAAGAAAAAACGACATAAATGTAGAACAGTGACTCATTATCCAAATTCGAACTCTTTCTGAGTGTTGTTGTTCTTATCATTTTGTAGGATTTTCAAAAAACAAACAAAACTAAAAATGCTATTTTCCAAGTTATAAAGAAGACTAATTCTACAACGGTGAATGCCTTAATGGCTAAATTGAAACTATGTCTGCGAGTTTTAGTTCTTAACATTATGTATGAGCGGCATAAACATTTAGATGAAGAAAAACTTAAGTAAGAGTATTGAAACAAAATAATTTTCAATACTCCAAGTTAAAAGGAGCATATCACCTACAGTTAGTTACTCACTGCGCAAATTCAAACTCTGTTTGACAATTTTGGTTCTTATCATTGTGTATGAGTTTCATAAAATTTGGATGGGGAAAACTTAAGTAAGAGAGCGGAAAAAAAACTTAGAGAACGGCAGGACATGGGGACTGAAGGAAGAAAAGACGATCAAGGGTAACACTTAAATGTTCCCATTGTCTACAACTGGGGCATATATATTGATTCTTATTAATCTAGTTTTTATTTGAGATATTCAATCAAAGACGTTGAATAATAAGCTATGCCTTTAATATTTTGAAGGAACCTTTAGAGCGAGAAAAACGACAAAGACAATTTAAAGACAATTTAGGACAAGTTCTGAAAGACCAGAAAAAGAAAGAACACTTGAGAAACATTTATTTTATTTCTAATACTGAGGATAATGATAGTGTGTTTGAAGAGATTAGAAAAGAAATTTCACGTCAAGTTATGGATATGCAAGATTGGGGGAAAAACTGTCCGTTAAAATGGCTTTTGTTTCAACAAGTCTTATTAAAGTTGAAAGACAGCAATGTACCGATTTCATCAATTAAAACATTGCTAAAAGTAGCAAAACATGAAGACATTGGTATCAGCGAAGAAAATGAAGTCAAACGATGCTTGCAATTCTGTAATGACAATGGAACAGTTATCTACTTTGATGAAGAAAACTTAGCAGATCATGTTATTTTGGACCCTAAATGGTTGATTAATGCCTTTAGATGTCTTGTTAGTGATAAAATTAATAATGTAATCGAAGTTTCAGATGACTGGCAAAAACTGAAAGACACTGGGCAACTAACAGATTCACTTATATCTCGCCTGTTCAAGAAAGAACCAAAATTGAAATTTGAAGACAACAAAGCACATTTAATTGAAGTAATGAAACGATTTGATATTATTGTGAACTTGAAAGATTCAACTGAATTATACATGCCATGCATGATAAAGTCATGTTCTTTCTCCGAAGTTCAAAATCAGTTTTATGACGGAAGTCCATCATTTTATAAAACTAGTTGGTTATGTTTAGAATTTAAGTTTCTTCCTCCAGCCTTTTTCAATCACATTATTGCATGGTATATAAAGCAATACAATGTGAGTGTTATAATCGATAAAGAAAATCGAAGCAGAAGAAATGCATTATATCGCCAGGTTGGTGTATTTGATTTGGATGCGTCTTGTTGTGAACAACTCGTGGTTTGCGAAGGAACTAATACCATAGCGCTTCAGGTATGGGATTCACGAATGTCAAATAAGACTTACGGAGATTTGGCATCAGCGTTATTTCGATTCGTTAAAACACTACGAACGCGCTACAGTCTACACATATCATATACAACAACATTCACATGTAAAGATGGAGATTTTACAATTAATCGAAAAACAATTGAAGATTTAGTCACTAAAGTTTACCGGTGCGCAGAACATAGAATAAATCACACATCGGACGATTTAGTAAAGCCTTGGAAATTTAGTAGAAAATTAGAGTGAGTACAACATTAACTCTTCAATCGTTTTGTTTGATACTTATTTGACAACATGTATTGCATGAACACTAGGGTTTTGCATAATATCTTATAATTGTATACTACCTTAATCATAGTTCTGTCCATTGCAAAACATTGGCCTGTTCTTAATGACTTCACTAGTGTTCTTACCTCCAATGGCGGAATAGGAGGATTCTCGTCTAATGAACGTTCAGCAAGATGACAAAGTGGAGTTTTGAGACATTTGTTCACTTCATTGTACAAAAATATTGTTTCTATATATCCTTTTCCATGTCAGCTATGGTATCATCCATCGACCCATATGCATCTTCTACTATTGACTTGGGCTGATTTAGTAGTCGTGGGATGAGGCTGTAATGGAAAAGGATGTAACAAAATGTATGATAATTTTGAAGCTACTATCATGAATCGATACCGATATAAATAAGGGTATTCACTAGACATGCTAGATATTGATATACTTAACGGTTACAAAACAGTATGTGAATAGCACTATGCTAGTTCCCACATTCAGAAAGAATCCGACATGCAACGATAATCTTTGTAACCTGAAAATTATCAATAACACTTCTATAAAACATTTGCTTACTAAACGGCCTAAATGCCAAATACCAAAATACGAATACGAATAAATTCATTCGACTATTAAGGCCGGCATGGTTTTAATGTGAAAAGCAAAATGTATTTCCTAATAGATAAGAGTTAACTCGTTGATACAAATTATTTTAGGAATTAGACATTAACGGTACAAACGCAACACTTTCGGAATTTTGAGTCCAAAAATTTCACATAAATTTCGTACTTTATATGACCTTTTTAACATTTAAGAATCACTTTTTCTAAGCCAAACGCACGTGTCCTGATCTACATAATACAATGTGAGTCGGTTAAATTGTGAACTTTTTATTTCTATGTAACAACATTTAAGCAGCAGTTGCATATAGAATATAGGTCTACTTGTTTGCATTATATTCAAAACCTTGCTGTTCCATTCAGCATGTAATTGTAGGCAAAGTTTAAATCCTTCTTTCGAAAGCTTCTCGGACGCTATCAGGACTCGAAATACCGACAACCTCCTCGTTTTTAATAGGAATCATTTTGTCTATTTTTTATTTTAATATGCTTTTGAGTTTTCTCTGAAATATTTGTATTTTGCAATGATGTGGTTGATAAATTTTTATAAAACGTAAGCAATCGTTTCTTTACAGTAACGAGGATGTGAGAGGTTTAACTAGCTATAAAAATAGGTTTAATTCACCATTTTCTACATAATAAAATGCCTAAACCAAGCCAGGAATAGGACAGTGGTTATCCATTCGTTGGATGTGTTTTGAGCTTTTGATTTTGCTATTTGTGTGTGGTCTTTCCGTTTGAATTTCCCTCGGAGTTCTTATTTTTGTGATTTTACTTTTTATCAACTCAACATACAAAAATATAAGTCGATAATATTAACAAATGAAACAGAAAACACCATAGGAACTTTCAAAACTAAAATTTCAATAAATCGATGAAAAACTTACAACGCTATTGAAAACAACGAAAAGACGACAAAATTGCTAGAACACTATAGACAAAAAATAGTAGTTCCCTTCGTGTTGCTGATAGAAGTGCAAGTTCGATGATAAGTCTTATTCGGTAATGTCACAATCGAGGAAAAAAGGAATAGTATTTTGCTTAGACAGTTTGAACATATTCGCATATATATTCATATAATTGTGCTTGATGTTTCACATACAATTATTCTATGGTTTATGCTGTTTTCAACAATTCTTCTTTATATATCTTTGAAAAGGGTGTGCACCTGTTGTAGAAAGAGAATTTTGAAATTGTCTTGATTTTGGGATACCATTTAGAATGTAGGGAACAAAAACTAAATAACAATGACTTCACCTTTATTAAATATCATTGTATTGAATACACATTTGCAAGGAAACTTACAACTTCTTTACCCAATACTCTATTGTTAAGACTTCTCGGATATTCCTAAGATCGAAATGAGTGTCACCATGACTAATCAACAATGTTTGCCTCTTGTATATAAGTTTGTATGAATAGTATATTATGTATAGTTCAGTATGTGAGGAAATGAAGGATTCAACTTTCATACTAAGTCTTTCAAATTGTGCAACTTTTATCTCAGGAAAATGGTTATTACAATGTGAAGAAAACACGTAAATATTGCAATTTCATTTCAGATGATAATGTCGCAAACATTTATAATATTGCCATCGAAAGTTTATTTTTAAAAACTAAAATTTTAGTTGACATATATATTTTGAATCGTCTGACAACATAAGAAAGACCATTAAAAGCAAATGTTGCTTGACGATGTTTTTGAGGTATGGAATACATACTGAGAGGTATTTGATTGGTCAACGGTAGTTAACGAGCGACACAAGTGACCTGTATTCGTCAATTGGTCCCTGGCAGGTAGCTGACGCATTGACAAGCATACCCCACCTTCTTATTTTACATGTTTTACACTGTTATAATCAATCAAGTATGTTACCTTCCTTTGAAATCAGCATGATATGTATGAAATTTTACAAAAAAGATTTGACAAAACATAAGACATGGTTTTATTACTATGCAAATAATTTATTTTGTATTTACATTGTGTCATAGGTCAAATTTATTTGTTCAGTGTATGTTCAATGGTGTTAATATGTCCTTTGATTGAGTTAAGCTATTTCAGTTGATATTTTATAGTGTGTCTTTCTATGTTGTGATGTTACACTATTGTTTCAGAAATAGGGTGAAGGTTTGGTACCATTAAAACATTTAAACCCGCTGCATTTGTTTGCACCTGTACTAAGTCAGGAATCTGATGTTCAGTAGTTGCCGTTTGTTGATGTGGTTCATAAGTGTTTCTCGTTTCTCGTTTTTTATATAGATTGGACCGGTGGTTTTCCCGTTTGAATGGTTTCACACTAGTAATTTTTTGGGGCCCTTTATAGCTTACTGTTCGGTGTGAGCCAAGGCTCCGTGTTGAAGACCGTACTGTGACCTATAATGGTTTACTTTTATAAATTTTTACTTGGATGGAGAGTTGTCTCATTGGCACTTATACCACATCTTCTTATATCTAAATAAGTTCTTGATTGCATTTCATTGATTATGTCGCAATACACATGATATCAGTAATACAGATAAAAAGGATTTTGTGAAGATTATGTCACAAAGATAGTTGCTCTATCATATCATGATTATTTAATTTATCCTTTTTTCATTTGTCATCAAAATGGTATATTTAAAAATGTTCGTTGTGTAGTATCATCTTACTATCAAGTAAAATCTTTATAACATTAACAATTTATGAATTGTGTTATATTTTTTTTTATGATTCCAGATTTCAGAGAGCATTAAAGTAAGTAGTTATTCAGTTTTAATATCCTTTTGTTGTCATTAATTATAGTTCTGAAACTGAGTATATAACAATAAAAAAAGTAAAAAAAAAAATAAAAGATGATGCAAGCACGTGAATGTTGCAAATAAGTTGAAAAAATGTCATTAGGCTATGATTCCTGGTTATAATGCTCTTAACATGTATCATTAAAAAAAAAATGCATTGCAATTAAAAGCTTTATTTTGTTGATGTCTTGTGACATTTTCAGAGTATATGATTTGTGATAAATATATTCAAACATGTCCCTTAACATGTGGTCAATGGCATCAGTCTTCGCCTTTTGCTTATATGGCATTTTTTTGTTGAAACCAGGGTCGTGAAAAAAACACATTTAAAAATTACTGATGATTTTGATGCTACTAGCATGATTTGATGCAGATAGAAACGACAATAATACCTAGCAATTGCAATTGATAAGATTATCGTCAACAAAACAGTATGGGAACGGAACTGTGTTAATTCCCTCATCGCATACAGCCTGGCATGCCACGATAAATGATGTTACCTGGGCGGTGTCAACAGCAATTCTTCACAAAATGTGTTAACCTTATAGTCAAAATAGTCTAATTCCATCATTATAGAAATAAACAATCTTAAATACTAATAGAGTCAGTCGAGGATTAAGCTTTGCAATTATACTTAACATAAAATCGTAGACGTAGATACTCTTTCCGATTAGGAATAGGCTGTGAGATCGTTGGTGCGAATTATGATAAAAAATGATTGTGTGTTCATACGACTTTTTGAAATAATAAAAAAAAGCGGTCATAACCATTGACAGTATAATAATACATGATGTTCTTTTCAATATTTAATGATTATATTGAACGCAAAGACGAAGTCGCCGTACCATATTAGGATACTCTAAATTTATCTATCAATTTATCTGTTTTAATCAACGTTGGAGTATTTACGTTGAGAGAATCATATTATTGTACATAATATGTTAACTTGTAACTCATTTAATGATTATATTGTTATATCAAAATGTTAACGATACTAAACTTTCGATTGCGATATAGTGATTGTTTAGAACAGTACAACCAGAATTGATATATAAATGAGTTTCCAATAACTTCTATTATAATAATAGTTCTATTGTTAAACTTTATAGTTTCTATTTCTAAAACAAGTGTAAATTGAATAGATCTATTGTTACGCATGACAATTGATTTTGACCACAGGGTGTGACGAGCGGGGTTTTTGGAAACTCCTGCTTCTACGTCCCGCAAACACAGTCCATTGTTATTCATAACAATAAAATTTGTGTTTCTTAATAGCATGAACTTAAGAGATTACTAATAGTAAAATTGAGAATGGAAATGTAGTGTTCACTACAAGTTGTTTCAAGACAAATTAGAAAAAAAAATTTCAGGAAATTGATTATATTCAATAGCGGAAAAAATATTTAGCATCTATTTTTAATAATAAAAAAAAAAAACATTTGAATACTCTTTTGCTTGAAGCTAAATTTTAATCCCATATGGCCATGTCTTAAAAACATACATGTAAAGGTAAAGAACTTTTGTTTGAATAATACATTAAAAACATATGGTTTTCATTTAGACTAAGTCTTAATCATAAAATAAATATTAATGTTTGGATTGTTGAAGGCTAATGATGGCATCCAGGGGTGCCAACCAAGGTTAAAAAAAAGGGGGGGGGAGGATTATGTTCCAGTCATATGTCTCTATTCTAAAACATTGATCGAAAAAAAGGGGATCAAACCACCAGACTCCCCCCCCCCCCTTTTCGGAAGACCCCGAAAAAGGGGGTTTCCTAAATATGCAACGAAATTCTTGGTAACCTGAACATTGTCAACAACACTTTTATAAAACATTTGCTTACTTAACGGCCTATACAAATTACCAAATCAGATCGCAGCACTTAAATACGAATACGAATACGAATGCATTCATTCGACTATTAAGGCCGGTATGGTTTTAATGTGAAAAACAAAATGTATTTCCTAATGGATTAAAGTTAACTCGTCGATACAAATTATTTAAGGAATTAGAAATTAACGGTAAAAACGCAAAACTTTCGGAATCTTGAGTCCAAAAATTTCTCATAAATTTCGTACTTTATTTGACCTTTGTAACATTTAAGCGTCACTGACGATTTTTTTCTAAGCCAAACGCACCTGTCCTAATCTACATAATGCAATGTGAGTCGGTTAAATTGTGAACTTTTCATTTCTATGTAGCAACATTTAAGTAGCAGTTGCATATAGAATATATGTCTACTTGTTTGCATAGTATTCAAGACCTTGCTGTTCCATTCAGCATGTAATTGTTTAAATCCTTCTTTTGAAAGGTTCTCGGACGCTATCAGAACTCGGAATACCAACAAATTCCTCGTTTTTTAATAGGAATCATTTTGTCTATTTTTTATTTTAATATGCTTTTGAGTTTTCTCTGAAATATTTGTATTTTGCAATGATGTGGTTGGTTATCAATTCCGATTGATAAATATTTATAAAACGTTAGCAATCGTTTCTTTGCAGTAACGAGGATATGAGAGGTTTAGCTAGCTATAAAAGTAGGTTTAATTCACCATTTTCTACATAAGAGAATGCCTGAAACAAGTCAGGAATATGACAGTGGTTATCCATTCGTTTGATGTGCTTTGAGCTTTCGATTTTGCTATTTGTTTATGGTCTTTCCGTTTGAATTTGCCTCGGAGTTCTTATTTTTGTTATTTTACTTTTTATCAACTAAACAGACCAAAAATTAGTCGATAATATTAACAAATGAGACAGAAAATACCATAGGAACTTTCAAAACTAATATTTCAATAAATCGATGAAGAACGTACAACGCTATTGAAAACAACGAAAAGACGACAAAATTGCTAAAACACTATAGAGAAAAAAAATGTAGTTATCTTCGTGTTGCTGATAGAAGTGCAAGTTCGATGATAAGTCTTAGACCCCAGCGTAATTATGTGCAAAAATATTACCATCGACCGATTGTAAAAAAAATCCAAATTTAGATCGCACTCTTGGAACTTTGGTGACCTTCTTTCAGATCTTCAACATCCGCTGTGTCAACACTACAATACAACTATATTTTTATTCACTGCCTATTAACTTTAACATTTTGCGAGATTATGCACTTGACAAGGGAAGTATAAATACATTTCTCCAATGTACAGACTGGTCTTTTCAATATTTTAGTATGATCGGTACATTACATGATAACAATAAAAAATTCCTTCAAATTCAGTTTATTGATAAAGGAATAGATGCCATCAACATCAGCAACGTTCTTCATTACAAAGAGGTAAAATCTAGAATTCCAATTTAATTTTCAAAATCAGTCTATTCCTAGATTGCTGTTTGAATTGGACACCTAAGCTTCACAAAGCTTCACAAAATTCCGTACAAACAACGGTACATTGCCGGCTTATATGCATGTTCTATAAAGGATTGTCCATTATATTAACAAAATTTCTGCCCGAAGTGAACGAAGATTTTCAGAAATAGTGTGAAACTGTTTACTCGTGTAGTAGTATTAAACGATATGTGGATTCTAAAAAAAAAGCTCTGAAGAACTCTAGATAATTTATTCTATCAAACCTTTATACCACCATTCCTGCGAAATTGAAAAATCGTTGAAAAGAAATCATTCACAATTACTTCAATATAATGATGGTAGCATACGTTATACATTTATTAGTTTTTGGAGATCATACAGCATATTTTGTTATTAGTAAACAAAAAGGTAGAATATGCTACAAAGAGAAACAAATACTCACTATGCTGGAGCTTATTGACAACAAATCTGTTAAATTTGGAGGTAGACTTTTTTCAAGAAATGTCTGCATTTCTATAAGAACGAGCTTTGCGCCTCTCATTGCCGACCTCTTCTCATTTTTATACGAGTTGGAGTTCCTTAAGACACTTGTCTAAAACAAGAAAATCAAAGAAGTTTGGTAAATATGTGCAATACTTGTCAGGTTACATTTACAAACCAATATTAGTCAGAAACGATTATTTTGATCTAAACAATTATTTATAGACTGAAAAGAAAGAAAAAAACTAAGTCATTTTAAGTCTTTCCGTAAATTATCAGATACTGTAAACCAACTAATTTGCTCGGGCAATTTAATTTCGCGACTTTCGCGAGTAGAAAAATAAGGGGAATATTAATCGTCTCAAAAATTTAAAACTAGGATCTTTCCTTATCTAGCGACAACAAGTAAATCTGAAAATCGCGAAATTAAATCGCCGCGAAGTGGGCTAGAAAGAGATAATATCATATCGGGATATTATGATTTATAGAAAACAAGTAACCATTGCACATAATTTCGTGTAACAATGTCGGAAACATTTATAATATTACCTTTGAAAGTTTAGTTTTATTGAAATAAGAATTCTGGAAGTCATCATATATATTATTTTTTAATCTTCAGTCAAAGTAAAACAACCAGGAAAGGCAAATTCTAGCTTGACGATGTTATTTGAGTAGGGAATTACTACAAAGAGGTATTGGATTTGTACACATAAAGATGTGCTTTGATTAATGAATAATATCCTAATAGTAAAACAACACTGACGATTTATTAACCGTCTAATATTATTTTTTTTATGATTTCAGAAATGAAAGATTTACAAAGTAAATAGTTATAATGTTTTTCATTAAGTATAGTTCTGTAACTGAATTGTATTTGAAAAATTATATACAAAATTTATTTATTTCAAAATAAAGACAAACAATATTCTCAATTATCATATACTTAGAGTAAATAACTTTTTTACAGTATGATACTATCATTAAATGTACGTGACTTCAATATTTTCCGAAATGGTATTTAGCGGGCTGATATGAACAATTTATCACATGCATCCGACTATATTACGTGCCTTTCTGTAACGTTATCGCATGGCATTCTAGCGTTACTCAACATATTCCCGAAATTACACCTCAATGGTACGTTTTCAGTGAAAAAACATTACAAATTAGAGTACACAACAGTTATTAGAAAACAGGAACATTATTTTACTTTTTATATAATGTAAAAT